AACTGTTATCCACATCTTGGCTGGTTTTTCCATCTTTTTTTACAGTTCTAACCTTCCAAGTAACTGAAACCTTATTTGTATTATTCGGACTATTGTCCTCATCTTTGTCGCCATATTTATTACAATGTTTCAGCCGTTGTACACTCCGGCCTTCTTCAGGTGGTTGGAATGTTGAACTGAACTCTTTATTTCACTCACTGGGGCAGACTGTTCTAGTTCCACATGCCATGAAATGACTGTATATATAATCTATCAGTGGAAAGGAAATTTAAGAATTAGCATTAACTTTTGCATATTCTGGACATTAGTAGTTACCAAAATATTCTCAGTGCTGCCAAGAAGGGTTTCTAAAAAAAAGAATTCTGATGTTTGAATAGATTTGACAATGTGGGTCTGGCTGAGAACCTTTCAGCACCTCCTTGAAGTAATGAAGCTCATTGTGACTGAAAAACAAAGATGAGGATAGTCCCTACCAAAATCCTTCTGTTCTTTTCTCTTCATCCTTATAATCTATCAATGTGGTAATATTTTTTTTCCCTTTCTTCTGAATCTTCAGCCTATTCTAAACCCCTCCCCCATATCTTTGGTATTCTCATTCTGATAGAGTACATAAATAATTCTGCTTCTTAACCACTTAGGCCTGTCTTAGGAGCATTCTGTGAGTGCTTCAAAGCTTGTGTACTTCTGTGTATTTGTATATATCGCTGATTAATGATCTAGAAAGTTTACTTTTTGTGTGAGATGTTCTCTTCTCTCCATCCCCCTCCTGCCTGCTTGTGGCAAAAAGAAACCAGAGTAAGGGTGAGGGATCAGGGGTCCCTACTGCAAAGAGATCAAGATGAATCTATCATGAAAGCCAAAACTTGTAACAATAAAAAAAAGGGATAAAATAAAAACAAGATTGGTATGTTGATATAGGATCCGTCTGAAGTGGATCCGCTTGTAAGGTCAGCCCGCCTTCCAACATTTCCTTGATTCTTAAAGACAAGGGATTGTATCTTTTTGACAGAGACTAGTAGGCATCATGAAGATGGGTCTGTTAGAAGGTGTTATCTGGACTGGGAGGGTCAGAGGGATTTGAACGTTATCACTATCACCACCAGCACCATCACTGTGGAATCTATCAAGACCAGGAAGATACAAGTGGAAACATCTTTTGGAATGGTTCTGAAATACTAAAATGATATACTGTCTTGTTAGATTTTTCTTGAAAGTTGCTTGTCTTTATATCATAAGAGACACTGACTGATTCTGTAGGGTAGAAACTATTTTTTTTTACTTGTTCAGGGTCAGTGACCTATAAATAAATAAAAAAATTCTTCCTAATTGCCAGGAAATCATTTTTATATACAGAGCTATACATTTTTGACAACAGAAAAATTTCTTTTTTTTTTTCCTCTTGATGATGGCAATGACACAGTGGATAAAGGCATTGGTTAGATCCAGTGACAGGACCCAAAGAATGTGAGTTCAATACGCAGTTAAGGCAGTGGCGAACTTTCAGAGGGAAATTAACAGGAGATAACTAATAACTGACATCCATTAAACATGGCACATGGAACTAGAACAGTCTACCCCAGTGAGCGAAATAAACATTCCAACCACCTGAAGAAGGCCGGAGTGTACAACGGCCGAATCATTGTAATAAATATGGTGACAAAGATGAGGACAATAGTCTGAATAATGTAAATAATGTAGGCAATGGTGAAATTAGCTGTTTCCTAATAAGTTGGTTGAAATTTATAAAATCTTTCTCTTGAAAGAGTTTCCCAGGGAAATAGGCTTCTCAAGCCTTCTGTTGCAGCATAGCATAGCATTTCTCAAACAATGTGCCTGGGTTCTCTGATGGGCTCGTAAAAGTAACCAGGTGCATCCCAAGTCAACAGAAGACTAAAAATTATTTTTATTTTTAAAAAGCTAGAGATACCAAGCACATGGCTTTCATGTCTAAATCAATTCTTTATCGTTTGATATTTTAAACAGTGTGCTAAATTCTTTCATTTTTAAAAAGGAGTGGATAATCCTTTCTCTTTTGCCTTCCTTAAGTGCACTCCAGAGTTTTAGTTACTCTCCAAGTACACGCTGAAGTAAAAAAAGTTGAGAAACACTGGTATTGCATATAATTAGCAAGTCAGTTATTTACAACACTGAGATAAAATCATTATCAAGAGTAAGCGATTGAATTCCACACATGACCAGAACTTGCCATCATAACAACTTGGCACAAGCAAAAATAAAATCAATGACCACAGATTGCAGCATCAAACAGGCAACAAGAGAGAAAGTGTATTGCTCCCACCCACCAGATCAGGATTTGACAACATTCCCAAACACAAGTCAACATCTTTATTATATAATTATTTTCTCTTTTATTTTATGTTATTTTTTTTAATCAATTCACTCCAAGCAAGGCGATAATGCCACTCAGATGCAAGAGACTACTGGGTTTAAAGAGAATGAAAAAGATTTTAGAAAAAACTGAAAACTTAATCCTAAACAGGAAACAAAAGATAAACGATCTACTCCTGTTCAAAAGACCAGGAAGGACTCTGAACCAGACTTTAGGTGAATCTCTCTACTCCTACTAGGAAAAAAGAATATATTAAATTGTTGTGACCAAGTAAATGGTTAAGAAATAACAAAACAAGTGTTGCAGATATATCATATATTAAACAGTAAGTACAACAGTAGAGTATTACACGACAAGTGCGTATCGGTTGACCCAGCGTTCAATCCATTTAACTGTTCCCCCAAGGCCTTCTCTCCTACTAATCTTATAGTAGGCAAAAGAGTCCAACATAGACTCTTTAGAGGGAGGACACCACAACATAAATAAAATAACAAAGATGAGATTATTAGTCCAAATGTAAATAGTGTAAATTATTATAACTCCACATTATAGAAATTTAGAGAGTAGATAGAATTTGGGAAAGGCATGAATCAATCTCCCACTTGCTATATGTTAAAAAACAGGGTAGACTGGGCTCACTAGCCTTGCATGGCAACCAGTGTAAAAGAAAGAAAAGTCTGAATTCAGACAGAAGATAGTACATGAGAGATTCTTTGGCATGGACAGTGAATAGGAAAAAAAAACAGGAAAAAACTGGATTTTATAAAGGTTTCAGTTACTTGGAAGGTTAGAAATATAACAAAAAAAATGGAAAAACCAACCAAGATGTGGATAACAGTTCTAGAAAATCAGTGTATACATATTTCAACAGAAATAATCTGAAATTGTTTGTAATGAAGTGGGTGGAGGCTATCTAAGTACCTGTACTTCTTCCCAAGAGCCACTATTTTGCAGAACAGAAGATACTACAATCTTAACCTCTTCAAGTCTAGAGTCAACCATTATCTATGTTATATCTACTCAGTCTGAACTTTATTTCTCATCTTATATCCATACAACAAGCTCATTTGGTAACTCTCTACTCTGAGTGTCTCTTGTGTTTGGTAAACATTTAGTTAAAAAACTTTTAAGATCAATATTTAGCCTCAACCTTATGCAGTGGAAAATGGTATTACCAGTGAATATTTTGCTTGATACTGCACTATAAAATATTACTGATTGAGTCTTGTCAAGGTTAATAATGGGAGTAACATCCTATTGCTGATACATTCTGGGTAAGAAGAGTAGTTTTGACTGAGTGCTTTGCTTAACTAAGCACATTTTTCTTTTCCCTGTGTGATATTCCAGTAATTTTTATCAAGATATACTGTGGATAAAACAGAGAACAGGGAGAAGTAGATTCATGCTTTTCCCCAAAACTACTAGTGTGAAGTGAATGCAAATGTTCTTGTCCAAAAATTGAACTTTGTGGGCTGATTCTATTTTTTATTTGCTGATAATTACCTATACCACTACAAGGTTCCTGAATCTTAAATAAGAATGCATTTCTTTCACCACTTAAAGCATTCCTTTCTAGAGTCCATCTCATCTCAAGAGGCATCAGACATTGCCACAATAAATATTTTCCTCTTCAGCTTCTTGTTCTCTACAAAATATTTCAATCTTGTCATTTCATTTTCATAATTTATACCATTTGTTTTATCCATATTTGCTATTTGATTCAGCAATGTCATATAAAACCCCTAAAGCTTCTGTCAGCATTGATGGCTTGTTCACCACAACACTGTTATCCAAAAATAAATCTGACAAAATGAACTTATCCCATATTGATTTCATTAGTTTCCTTTATAGATTACTTTGAATGAGAAATGATAGATTTTTAAACCACATGACTTATTGTTCACTATTGATATTTTCTATTGGCTCCATTGTTTTAAAACCCCCTCAGTTCAAGTAATGCACTTTTTGCAATTCTAGAAACAATAATCAAAATTATGTATATTTCACTTGTAATGTGAATAACCCTATTGGCTCCATTGTTTTAGAACTCCCTCAATTCAAGTAATGCATTTTTGCAATTCCAGAAGCAGTAATCAAAATTTCTATATTTCACTTGTAATGTGAATAACACTAAGTAACTTGTAATGTGAATAACTCTAAGTGAATTGTAAATACTCTTGGCTCCATTGTTTTAGAACCTCCTCAGTTAAAGTAATGCAATTTTTACAATTCTAGAAGAAATAATCAAAATTTCTATATTTCTCTTGTAATATGAATTGTAAAGTGAATAATCCTATTGACTCTATATTTTTTTAGAACCCCCTCAGTTCAAGTAATGCACTTTTTTCAATTCCAGAAGCAATAATCAAAATTTCTATATTTCACTTGCAATGTGAATAACCAATTCTGAATGGAATATGCCTCTTTAAAACATACTCACAAACTAACTCTATTCGTGAATGTTTTTGGCATTTATAAGGTCTAATTCTTGGTGTTTGACAGAGCATTGCACTGCAGCTTACATGTCAATCATTCAGTGGATCTATATAATAACTGATTTTTTGATGCCATGTCTCTTCAGGATACAGGTGATCATGACTCTCTAAACTTCCATTTCTTTATTACCTGTAAATTGCCATGAATTTTTGAG